CAATCCAGGCACAGGTTCTCCAGATCGGACGTTAGTTCCAGAGGTTGTATGATTCAAGTTACTATTTGTGAGGCTTTCTCTAGCAATCCTAGGTTTTCGAAATAGTTTTAGTGTGAAATTAATATTTCAGGAGCAAAAACAGGTGACGCATTTGAAGGAACACTGATTCGAAAGCATACTTATGAGTCCTTGGATCGAAAAGCTTCAAACCGATCGTGGGAGAAATTGCTAGCCGTTTTGCGGAACAACGAGATTTCGTTCTACAAGGATGCAAAGCATAAGTAAGTTATGAATTGAGAATTTTCACAATAAGCTGGTTTCCAAACGACTTGTTAGCTATGGAAGGCCGTATTTTCGTAAGGAATGTTCAAACGTTCATTTGGCTTCAGAGAGGAGGGTGCAACATTCCATAATGAGCCAGCTGTCAGCTTACCCGGTTGTTCGGTGAATGTAGCGCAGGATTATCAGAAGAAAAAGAATGTGCTATCGTTGCGGATGCCAGTTGGAGCTGAATATCTTCTGCAGTGTGCTAGTGAGGTGGGCGAATCGTCTTCAGAGTTGATTGTACGGAATCCCTTTATAGTTTTGAGCTATGCGATGATGTATTTTCATTCCAGGAAGATTGCCAGCGCTGGTTGACGGAACTGCAATTGGCAACGGGTCAAGCGCAGTTGGAAGAGCATTCGCGGTCGCAAACGTTACCCGAAGGTGCGCAAGCAAAAGCGAAGAAAACTGGCTTCTTTTCACGGAGCAAAAAGTAGTAATGAATAGTGTTGCTCGAACAGCAGTTCTACCCTCCTCTAGTCCTGTTTCGCACGGTATGTTGTGAGCTTGATAGCACCGAGAAGACAGAGCCGTCAACGTAATCGGCAACGATGATGTGCTCTTGTCATCTTGAACCTCATAGCCCACCCATCCTCCCACTTTCATTGTTATCCGTTTCCCTATTCGTTCTTTATGTGCTACTACGGTTCGCGTGCGTCCAATACTTTGTTCCTTGGTCAGGCGTAATTACGCCGTTACGTCACCGTCGGGATCATATGTTTCGATATATTTTGTTGCATTGTATGAGCGTGAAATAGCGCATTGATCGCATAGTAGAAGCTTTTTCATTGCGGAGTCGATATGTGTTATACTGCCCGCATAATGGGACCCTAGTAGAGAGGACGGCCTTTTGGGCTATATTTTATATTAATTGTTATGTTGGTTATCAGCACAATGCACAAAACACATAGTAAACTATACTGGTCTCAGTAGAGCCGGGCAGCTGACACGATCTTCTTGATAATATCTTGATGGTTGTCGATGAGGGCACTGATGTTTCGGACGTGGAATCTTGTTGGAGGAACACTCAGTTCTACCTCCACAACATCAGTGTTCATCATCTGTCCTAGCGTTCCTTTCACTGTTTCCCCATTTCAATTCATCTCTTGTATGCATCGATGTCTGGCTCGTCTCTGACCGAATTGTTCGTTTATTCATCGCGGACCACCCTTCATTCTATGCAGCTATTAGTAGTACAGAAGATTACGATAGCAGTGTGTGTTCTGCAAATCGGCGTCTAAGTCGTTTTGTTTGTTTGTTTCTCTGTCTCTCGCTCTCTTTACAGATTTCCTTCCAAAACAGCCTACCTTCTTCTGCTATCTCTAATTTGTTTTGCTAATCCCAACAACATCAACACTACAAACCAAAAATCTTTCCATGCGCCAAACAAATTGCGATGTCGATATAGCGGAGCTCCACTAGCGAATTCGTATCCCGTACCATACACATACAGCCGGCAACTTTCTTCAATTTTGTATCTCATTCTGCACTGCCTATTCTCGTTCATCGTCTCTCGCTACTGAATCTGAACTCAGTACCGTATCCCACATCCACATCTCGTGTTCATGTGCTCTGTATGGGGAAAAAGAGCGCGACATCGCTGCGCGCGCGCTTTATGGGCCTTTGAGAATTTTTAGAATAAAATTCGCTAGCTGTGGACCCCTCTGCTTCTCTCATCATCATTCATCTCTATCCACAAACCAATCAATTGTTATTTGTATGAAGCGATTCGCGTATGACGTATGAAATGTAAATGTTTCCCATGTTCATCTTGCTAGAAATTCCCGTTTGCGATGTTGAGAAATCGTTCATTCAAGTCGGATCGAGAGAGCTTTGTTTGTGCGCTAATTCTCATTCAAGAGCGTTTCTATGATTTCTTATCGAGTCTCACAGAGGACCTGGTCGCTGAACGATCCTGTTTAATTCCAGGTTGTCTTCAGCTCGTAGCTTATTGTGTTCACTAAACGTTATTATATGGTTACAATAAAATCTAATTATTGCTTGTGTTCGCTTACTCACAACTCATTTAAGGCATATGGGTTTACTTTTTGAGTGTTGGTGTGTCCAAGGTAATAGACTTCAGATTCTTGTAGNAGGGCAGGTGGGAAGCGCCGAGCTGAGCAATTTCACCTGCTGGGATGGTGGTTAATGGAGGAAGGGGGTAGGAAGGAGCTCGAAAAGTGGAGTATTCATCAGAGCCTTGTCGCGAAGATGTTACAATGCCGCTATTAGTTCATAAGGATTAATCTGTCACAAACCTTCGGTTTACTCTGGATTATTAGCAGTTTGTATTGTTTACGCTCACTCTCCACTTAACTTAGAAGGGTCTTAGAAAAACAAAACGAGGAAGTGTTGAGGAATGTAAATATCTTGTGAAGTGCCCGATGAAAGAGAAATTAAGAAAAATGCCTTTTATGTTTTGTGTGTTTTCCGATTTAATTGTTCTTCTGAATGCATATATTTCTAGAACAACAAAGGGCGATTGTTGTCGATCAATTCCTTCGTTCTTTTTACAACTATAGTAGCTATTTCCATAGACTATAATTTCCTTCTATGAAAAGTTGTGCTAACATGGCATGGTGGAGAACTCATTAAAACAGCCGTGATTGGTACCACCTAACTATTGCCCGGTTCACAACAGGCATCTTTCATAGTCCACGACCGGTCGCGCGATCAGTCGTGCGACTGGTCGCCAGTCGCTAGCGACTGGTCGCTCGACTGGTCACCTGACTGATCGCGCCACTGGTCGCTCGATCGGTCGAGGAGGCCGCGCTAGTTATGGGTGCCGCCGTGGACGGTCCCGCGCGATCAGTCGCGCGATCGGTCGTGGACTATGAAAGATGCCAAACCAAATTGCAATCATGGGCGGCCAGTCCTGTTTCTGGCAAGTCACATAAAGTGAATCAATTGAATTAATAAAATTTTCTTCTGTAAATTGTTACACTAAAATGAAAACAAGTGAAAAAGCTGTTCCGTTCCCATTCTGCCAATGCGCTTGGTGGAAAATGAACAGCGACAGTATCAGTATCGTCCATATGTTAGGGGAGCCTTAGAAATATAGTAGGGTTGAGGATACTTTATTACGACCCAAGAAAATTCAACTAAAAAAAACAAGGAAAACAGCACCACACAAAAGGAAGTGCGGATTTTTTTGTTTTGCCGTTATATCGCCCCCTTTAATTTATCGACAAAGCGCAGAGTAAAGGCGGTGATCCGATCACATTACCACTTTTGTTGGAAGCCGTTTTGATGTTGTTTTCAGGAACCCATTGAAGTGCAGTCATAACATGAGTACTTATATGTATGGTGTAGTTGATTCAAATGTTCCCCAAGGGATGAACGCCTCCCACCCTCAGATCGCCTTTTATTCGTGAAAATAATGCCTGTAGAAAACTGAAAACTCATGAGCCATACTTTATTTTGCATAAATGTACATCATACAAACATGAAGTTATCCGTAAACATTAGAGATCCACAATGACGTAAAATAAATTATTAGATAACGAGAATTGATTTGAAAAAAGGTCCATTTTACAGAGTAAGGCAGATCAATGTGAATGAAGTAAAAATCCGATACTGGGAAGTTATTCAATGGTTGTTTGAAGTCAAAATGAAAGTTTATGGTTTTGGTCACATCTACAATGGCGTGCGTAATGAGTTCCATATGAATGGTGATGGACGAGTTCAGCCTTTCCCTCGAGTTGTCTTCTGGGCTCAAATTCTCGCAGTGTGGCATGTTTGGCTAGCAAGACTTCTTGGAACTCAGATAGGCATTGATGGTGAAGATAGGTTCCTGTCCAGGTTTAGTACTGTAGAGAGAGGTTCCTGTTCAGGTTTCGTACAGTAGAGAGCTCATGCTCTAGTGAGGACCCGATACTCACTAAGCAAGTGCCCTTTACCGTACTTCATCTCTGGGTCGGAGGACAGGGACGGTCGGCGAATGGTCAATAGAATACCCTGATAACACGAAAGAAGGGAACAGTGAAAAGAATGTGGACCTCCTTTCCACTTTTCATTCCAAGGAGAGCGAATAACCCTCTCACAGAACAATGGGCATAGAAAATATTTACTTGAAATTGACACTTCTAAGCTTCTTCTTTTCAGAATTAATCGACAGGATCCCAGTTAGTTCGGTCCAATTTCAGACACCCGGAGAATTGGGCGCTTCAGAAGCGTATACTCGCCTCTACATGAGACCATTGGGCTTTTCCTGAGCTTCTAGTGGTAGGTTTCCAGGGAACTCCATGGAAATGACATTTGCTAGTCAGAAGAGGAGAATCCCCAGGATCACTCATACAGTTGTGGTTTGTGTAATCAGGTAACGAGTTTATATTAGTCGTAACCAACCGCAGTCGTTAGAGGATCATGACCTTTGGTTCAGGTTTGGCTTGAGATAGCAACATTTGAGCATTCCATTAATAGGATATGATAACTAATAAAGACCACAACCTTTGAGTTTCGATGATAAAATCGTATCCAGTACACTATCAAGAACGAATTGCACCTGTTCTGTGTCTGTAGCGCAGGTGAGATGAGTGTAGATAGATTTTTCATGATTTTCATTTGCAGCATTGAATTGTGCCTCAATATATTTAGAAGCTTCGTCGTAGTTTTCTGCTCCTGAAAAGTTTTGTTTTTGTGCAATCCTAAGAAAGCCATTTGAAAGGCAAATGGAAAGCGGTAGCAGCTAGCCGGTGGCAGATTCGGTCAACCCTTATTGGTTGGATTTCAATGGCGGAACAACCCACCGATAAGGATTGGACTCAGCATGCCCACCTCCTCAGCCAAAGGATGTATATGGTAATACTTGATATCGGTGGAAAAAAATTACAAAAGGTGAATAAGTAAAATTCTGGTAGTACTGACCTTTGTAGTTTGGAAAGGCTATCCGTAATGATTTTCCATGTCCGATTTTCTTCTCAAAAAGATCTTTCTTATTTAGAAAAAGAATGACCGACGTGTTCACAAAATACTTGTTGTTGATTACTTGTCGAAACAACTGAAGTGATTCCTGCATTCGATTCTGAAATGGAAGCGAATCAACCGCTCAAACATTCTTTTCAACGACTCTGAAGATGGTTTCGATTTACTTGAGCTGATAGAAAGAGGTAGTGAGAAAGCCGTTTTCAAGTGATTCAAGGTATCGTTAACCTCCAACTTTGCACAACTTCTCAGCCTTTTCCTGCCAGCTTCACTGCCATCCCTCCCCAGAATCAAATTGATGCCAGCGTTTTGGAGGAATGAAGTATTGAACGTGTGGTAGGAAGAAGGAAGGATTGGGAGGGGATTGGGGAGAGGGAGGGGGAGGGGGAGGAATAGTAGGAAAGGGAGAGTGGGATTGGCTCGACTCGACGGGTCGAACTTTCCATTCAGGATCTCACATCACTTCTTTTTATACATATTAATTAATTTCGATGAAATGTGAAATTAGAAACAGATTATTGTCAACTACTGAATTGCTCTCTACTGAAATTCAATTTATAATTAATTATATAGAGGAATCCTCACCGTTGTATCGTCCTCGAGCAGCACCTGATCGTACTCACTCAGGGATGCCACGTAAATTACAGCTTTTGCGTCATCAAAGCAGTGAATCCATTTCTTTCTTTGAGATCTCTGGCCACCGACATCAAAAACCCTGAAGATCAATTGCTGAAGCATGCAAAAAAGAAATACTTTAAAAACCCATGTATTTGTACTTGCACAAACTTTGACTTTGAAATTCCTGAATATTCCCTTTTTTTCGGAATAAAACCATGAATTAATTTTATAATACAAATTGTGAATGTTAGTAGATTGGAAAGAAAAGTTAGCACAAACAAACCTCCAGAGCTTGTTTTTCATAGTAAAGCAAACTTCAATCACACCCATTGTAGCTACCCGCGTTCGTAGAATATCTTGTTCTGTTGGCACGAAGTTTTTGTCATAGATCCTATCCAACGAGTCGAGAAAGCTGCAAAAGCCAATTTATAGTGGAAACCTGGGTGTGTACGTTGAGCCAGCCGGTTTTTGGGCTCTTATGAAACGCTGTCAGGGTCGTTTTTGACCCAACGATGTCCCACGTGCGATCCTTGGAAGCCACAAGCTCATCCTAGGGGAAACTTTAGCCAATAATGCAATTTCTTTATAAACTAACCGTTTGTCTCGAGAAATTACAAGTGTCTCAGAATGAGCTTTATAACTAATTTATCATTCCTTATGCGAAAAGGGCAGTCACAACGTTAGGGAGAGCTATGAAGAATGAGCGGGAATTAGATTTTGAAAAAGCAAGAATTTCACTCACTATTTAGCAGAATCGTGTAGGTAAAACTCGTCCCTCCGTTCATAAGCGGCCTCCACCCCTTTGTCGTTCCATAAAGTCTTGATCGCCCTGGAATGGAATGATCGTTATAGCACAATTAAAAGTACTTCCAAGGTCTATGATTATTTAGAGGAATAGTCATAACCTACTTGTACATTTCTTCAGACATCGGCTGAAATTCTTCTTTTTTGTCCAGGACTTTCTTTACAAACATTGCGTAATCCTAGAAAATAGATTCGTATAATTTGAGTAAGAAATGGAGAACGATGAGTAAGAAATGGAGAACGATGATTACGCAATAACGGTAGCATAGGGGGATGATTGCAGCAAAATTCCCAGAGCCCATAGGTAAATCGGAATTCGACGGTATGTAAGGCCAAAACCATCAAGCATAATGGTGGAACAGTTCCAGAGTCTCCACTTTTATAGAACCCCCCGAAACCTGGTGGAACTCGACGGACTGCATGTGAAAGGAAAGTCCCTTCTTCGAGTGATGCCCTTGTCCAAGTCAACAGGCTATGGCTTGGCTCTTGCTGTCGTCAGAGGAACCACCAAATCAGCATTGCCACGGCACTTTTCGTCTTCACCGTTAGAAAAATGAGAACCCAAGCTTGACTCGATTGTCGAAGTCTACGGCATTCCCCCGACTCACACTCATGCCAGTTCAGGGGCTGCATTTACAGTCGGCGTCAATGAAACGGTGGCGCGCGGGTACGGGCGATGAGCCTCGTAACGGGACCCGGTGTTTCCTGCTGCTACTACAGCTGATATTTTTCTGTGCTACAATTTATGTCTTCAGCTTCGCCCTTCCTCTAATTAATCTCTTCTACATTCAATGTTTACCATATGGTTGAATGGGCACATTCCTACTATATTATCTCGTGATTAGTTTCATTTTCCAACTTTCTGCGTTCTGTAGCTTAAACAATTTTTTGCATAAGTTTGTGCCTGGATGCAGCTTTAAAATGAAGTCTCATTAACCACGTGGCAAACATGGAATGTAGTAGAGCTTGACAAATTAATGAAAAAGATCGATAAGACAGTCTGAGTGACTGCTGGAAAGAAACAGTGCATAACCGTGAGATGTTTCCGTGGTATATTCATGAATACGGCACTCAACTAGACGATGAAAAGGGAAAAAACGACAAAAAGACAAAGAAAAAAACAAAAAGAGGTGTTTAGGCTGTGGAGTACATAAAATTGGCGCAACTTGCATTATAGAGAGATATAAAAGTAGAAAAAAATCATTTGATCACTTAATAGAGAACTAATATAATAGAGATCACTAAACGAAAGGCAAAGTCAGCGAACAAATCAGTGGGACAGAGTAGGAAAGATTTGGCCACAGGAAATACCTTTATCGATCCCTTTTCAAGAGTTTTTTTTTTGATACGCTGGTTTGGGATCGCAAATAGTCAACAGCTTTTTTAATGGATACGAGTTTATGCTATCACTAAAATCTCCATTTTGTAAAAGAATTTTAGCTATTTATAAGAGAATTTCAAGGAACTCGTGGTAAAATAGTGTTATGTTCCCTTACTTGGCTCTGTTTCGAGGCAAATGGAATATTCAGTAATTTCATTCCATCTATTAGCGCACCAATCGATTGTACAGTATTCGCACTGACGACAGAGATTTTCTGTTCCGCTTCGTCTGCTGAGAAACCATTATCGTGAATTATCCTGGAAAATAATACAAATTAACAACTCCCGAAAAAACCATAGTAATATTACGTTGCATTCTCATTGGCTGCTTTCCGGACTATGAAAGCAGCCATTTCCAGGGAAGAAAGGGATGCACTTTCTAATGAGGCGGAAAAAAGCGATAGGAATATTCGAAGTCATGTTTAGGCGACGGAATCTAGTGATAGATTTTACTTACAGGAATATTTATCTCCAAAAGACCCCTTCACTCTGCCGCAGTCATGAAAGCCCTGGGTAAGAGTAACCTGCTAAACAGAATGTCTGTTCGTTAGGATTAAAATGCTATCAGAGGACTGTATAAGTTTTTACATTCTAAGAATGTCTGAACTGCCTTAGTCTAGAAGGTGATTACTTTAGCTCACAAGAAGCCCTCTTACAATTGGTCCTCATACACGGATGATTGTCGTAGACTCATATTCTCAATGAAAATCAGATTTGCAAATGACATAGGGCTATGGTGTGGAAAGGAGAGTGAGAAAAGGAGTTTTCTGGCGTCATTTCCTGCGATGATCTATTAACCCGAAAAATCGCTCATAATCAATGTCATACGTTACAAAACAGCATCAAGCAACTCACTTCATCTGCTTGAGAATAGTGCTCTTTCCACTTTCGCCTGCTCCTAAAAAAGATTTTTGTCGATCTCGTGTTAGTTTTCCAACAAAGTGCAAGAGTCATTTCAAAACGTTCTGTTGCAAATAGTTGTATTGATGTAGCCGCGCATTCAGCATGATTAAAAATTAGGAATTTCCCAAGTTTACTACAAGAATACGTCAGCAATGGCTTTCTATCGCCAAGTCTAAAGAGGGAAGGGTTACAGGCTGACATGACTTTGAAAGGTAAGAAATAGCATTACGATGATCCAGGGAGTGAGCGATTCTAGAGACCAGGGCTCAAGATTGGATCAACTATAAATCGCTGGTAAAAATCTGAAAATTTGGAATGAGTAGGTGAGAGTTGTCACGAAATGCAATCCGAAGAGACAGTTCGCGTAAACGAGGCGTTGAACTCATTCCCGAATTCTGCACGTGCGCTCGGCGAGTCTTCGACTCTCGTTTCACGGCGTCAAACTTCAATGGCCGTAACCACCCATTGCAGCAGCTCCACAATCGTGCAAATCTTTCCCATACACTGCGCGTACCCATCATCCATTTAAATTTTGTGATATCCTTGTGGTGCGGCGAGCACTGCACCGCAGTTTGAGGGGTGTGGTGCAATTCACGCGTCAATATATTGAGGTCATCGGACAAAACTCGCTAAAACATCATGCCTACCATGTGACGGAGGAAATAAGAACTTATAAGTAGAATAAGTGAAGAAATGACCAACTATGC